GTAAGACTGTTGCTAACAGTCGGGTTCTCGACATGAACTTATCGGAAGTCGCACTTGCGGCACCTCCGCGTGCTAGAATTGCACGTATCGCGCGGGGGTATTAGATTACGGTTGTCGGCACCATGGCTGATCAACATAGGTTTTTGGTGCTTGGTCTCCGAAACCGAAGCCATGAGTTGAGTTGAACCAAGCTTTCTGGGAGACTGTGATTCGCCTAAACTCCAGGTACTTCGGCCAACATGGGGGTCATGTGAATGGCGAATCAGGCCCTACAAAACTAGCAAGCGTTGCCGGACTACACCAGCGAAACGCAGGGTGCAAATAATCCGGACGGGGGAGCGGACAAGTGGCACCCAGAAAGGCCCCGCACTCGGATGCAGCTTCAAGGTTTGAGGCAACAGCCTTAAATTAAGGCTGTTGGTTGATTCAGGGTTTGGATTTAGGCCGCAGGGCTTTCCGGCGTCTCTGCAAAAATTCTGAACATCGTGCTCGCATTGGTGGTGCAGATGATGATGGTGGTGTTGAGGCCCTGCACGAAGTAAACAAAGCCACGCAAACTCAGCCTTGAATTTGACACCGAAATCCGAGTGCAAAACGCATCAAAGTTTGCACCTCAATTCGAATGCTATGAACATCCTTTAAACCTTCGCTCAAGAAGACGTCCACTCGCAAATGTGCAACCAAGGAACATCATAGCTTCTGCCGCCGCTCAAACAAGAAGTAATTATGGCAGAGGAAGTAAACCAGCCGCTATCGCCCCCCCAAAACTGAAGAGGTCGAAAGAGTTCTCTTGATTTGCCACGGCATCCATGATAGAATCGACGACCTTCGTTGAGCAAGGTTCCTGAAGTTTCGGGGGCGGGTGTTCCCTCCGGAGCGTAACCGATGGGCTTTCGCTCCCGACGACGAGCAAGGGTCTCATCAATATGCTTTGCCTGTCGGCGATCATAGAGCTCGGGGGGCCCGGGGGCGAGGAGCGAAAGCGCATGCCATCATGCGATATGCCAGCAGCCCTCAGCCCTCAGGTCCCCTTCATGCAGCGCAGAGCTAACCTACGCATCTGATATAGGCCCACGGCTGGCCAGCTGCGCGCCCACTGAATCCTAGCAGCTCGTTTTGGTGTTTCGAGCCGCAGGTGCGGCTTCCAACACTTGAAGTTCTGGTTCTCAGGTGTTGCTAACATTAAAAGTCAGCGCTGCAGGCCATCATCTGCATGCGAGATCAACGACTTGCCAGCGAAACCTCTGTGGGTGCAGGACTGAATCGCGGTCATGTGTCATATGTCCCGGCGCTACGCATCCTGATGCCCGGGGCGTCGTCCTCGAACTCTGCGGCGGGTCCTGGGGAGAACATCATCCCACCTCAAGGGCCGATACGGACAGTGCAAGGAGGGCAAGGCTTTCGAGTTTAACAGTGGACAGTTAGGAGTAGAAGACGAGTTTACGGCATACGTACAAGTATCTACAATCACACAGCACAATCGTTTTAGTCTTCCTACGAGCACTGAAAGTTGAATACGTTAAATATGTTCCCGTCGGTCCGTGTCTCTGGACGTAAACTGCGACGGCAACAATCCAAAGCGAATGCAACCCCTAGAAGGTCAAGGCACGGGGTCAAGGGTCTAAAGCGGCAAGCTGACTGCACACGTGCAGTCACCTGAACCCCAACTTCCCCAAATCGCCCGGTTTACGCAAGACTTTGGGCCTAAAGCCTCGCCATGCAGAATGCTTGAACCAGTGCCAGCATGTGTGACTCTGCCGACAAGAAGTGCATGACACTCTGGGAGACGGTCCGAAATTGCCGGCTTTCCTTGGAGCCGTGTCGCATGTCAAAACAAAGGTATTGAATGCAATCCGAGAAGTTTCGTGAGTCCAATGCATGTAGAACTCTGGAGAGGCATGGCGGCGAAATGAACACACGCTGAGAACAAATCCTTCTTCCGTTCGGACAAGTGCTCTGTCAGAATATGAACGCTGAATCACAAGGCCTAGCAGGGCCTACCATATAGGGATCCCTCAAACTGCCGTAGACCCTAACCTTGAAGCCGAGACAGTCCCGGTGCCAAACTTTGGGATGCTGTGATCGCCGAAGTGTTCAACCTGAAAAGTCGGAACTCAAAGCTCTTATCAGAAGTCCTATTCCTGTCAATTTGCAGCACCTGGCTTGTGGCCGAGGCACGGCGATAGTCGAGGCCGAACCTGTCTGCCGAAAAAGGATCAGCGAAGTTTGATTATGCTTCCTATGAACTGAAAATACTTAATTCTGTGACGAAGCTTTAAACTTTCCTCACACAACCACCAGGGTCCCGAACTCAACCCGAATCTAAGAGAAACCCCGAATCGCTCGAGCTCAGCCCATGTCAACCCTGTATCTCCACAACTTTCCCGGTCCTGAACCGGAGATATGCGTGGAGATGGGAAGAGTTGTCCGGCAATTGAGTCTTCGAAGTCCGCGGCCTGATCTTACAGACGGAGGCAGCATTACACAGACCCCTTTCTCTTGTGACCGGCTCAAAATCCTTGCAAGTAATCCATTCGATTTCGAGCACCTGTGGCCTGTGCTCGTCCACATGTACCTTGTTTTTTGCCTAAGCGTCTACTCTCGTCTAGAACAGGAGTCTAGGACCCAAAAGGAGACACGATGGCCGGTGAATCAACTAGCTGCACCACGTCTGCCCAAGCTGGTGACTGTGTTCAGTCACAGTGCTACAGCAAACTGTGAGGACAAAGTAAATCATCTGAGTCTCACACGGGTTGAAAATGCGAGAAACTTAATACTTCAACTATCCTGAATCAGGAAACCGGAAATGGGACTGACTGAAATCATGTTACGCAGAAACTTAAAGCCTGAGTCCTAACTCGTGCTGCTTTCGAGCCTTTTACACTGAGTTGAGGACGCTTGTCCCAAAGTGACTGGGAGGCATGGTTGGAGCACGTCAGTGTCCCGCTTCTGGGAACAATCGTCTCACAAAACACTCTGTCGCTGCCGGTGTCGGGTGCGAGTTGCGATCCAGGAGCGGTTATGCCGGGACTGTGCTCCGAATCGCTGAGCCCTGAGTGAGCTCCCGACGGGGCCCTGTTGCTGCCAAGAGCTGGTAGACCTGCACGAAATTTCACGAATGCGTGCCAATCGCAACGGTCGCAGCACAGAATATGCGTTCCACCCACATGTTTCTGGAGATGTGCCATGACAGCGCAGTTAATCTCCTTTGAACCTGAGGCCTGGTTGCAGGTTTCGGCTTCTTCAGCTTGCAGTTGCAGCTTTCACGACCCCACCTTCATGGCAATCCTCACTCTTAGCTTCACCACCACAGCGGCCGTCACCAGCTGCGAACAATCATCATCATAATTATTCTCATGGCGGTTTCTGCCAGAAGCCTCCGAAAATCAGCTTAGGTGTCCCTCGAACATTCGCCGGTTCGGAAGATATCATTATGAATCTCTCGAGCCCTTGATGGGGCACAGGAGCTCTCCATGCGGTCCTGCACCACAACCGAGCCTGAAATGCCCCGATTCCTCGAGGGAACTCCGACTCCGGCTCGCATGTTAGGGTGTGACTCTACTTCTTTACCAACAACTGCGCCGCTTCATGAAGATGGCGTAAAGCCTTCGGGCCCCGCTTCCCGGTAAGCTGCTTTCATAGCAAGCCTGAGCAAGCCGGCCTGGAAGTAGGGTTGCTTGTGGCCGAAGCACCCGACAGTCGTGAAGGGACGCTCACCTTCTTTTGCTGCACGGTGGCCAATGAAGCATAGCACGGGCTTTGTTTTGCTGACAACAAAGCTTCTATCAAATATGCTCGCACAACGAATCATGGTAAGATAGAGGTTCCATGGTCATCCTGCTTGGAACGACATATACCCTGGCGAAATACGAGCACATAGCTCCCGCAAACCAACACTTCTGAATGTACGCCCCCGCGTGAACTAGACAGTAGGCACACTTTGCCCGTCTCTAAGTCTCGACGCCTGAGGAGGAGAAAGCTCCAGCGGCGAAGTCGAATCCTCGGCTGAGCACACAGAGGAAGACTGTAAATGCTTCAATGCAAGTTAAAAGAGCAGTGCGCCACATGTGAACTGCTAGCAAACCTCGCGATTGAATCCGTGGCTGGAGGGAGGCCTGCGACAACTTGGTCATATAGTGGGCAGGAACAAATCGGAGGCCCCACAACCTTTTACAACCTTCAAACAACAAACATTCTAACAGGAGAGTCTCAAGACAGTACAGTCAGGCACAGCAGCACAACATCAAATCTAAGACAATTTATGGGTCGGGTCCTTCCCGCGGATAGAGCACGAAACTCTGACACTGAGTGTTTCACGTCCAGTGCACCTCCTGGCTCGACACGCACGGCACCTCAGAGTTGCACAAATCGGCGACGTGTCGGCTGGAACTCTACCTGGACAGCCGTGTAGTCCTCGCTCTCTCTCTCTCTCTCTCTCTCTCTCTCTCTCTCTCTCTCTCTCTCTCTCTCTCTCTGTGCGATACGGCAATGTACTCCAAACATGCATAGGGCTCTTTTTCGGACAGCGTACCAGCCTCGCCTCTTTGCGCGTGGGATAGGTGACCGGCGAGATCCCGCTCAATTGAAACAGCTCAGAACATACAGCAATCTGACTATGCGCACTGCGCTTCTTCAGAGAGATCTCGCATCACACGATGTGTCAGGATTGTGTTTCTGTTCCTGGCAAGGGCCCTGATGGAATTTGGGTCTCCGTGAAATCAACAACTGCCAGTCTTTCTTCTGGAGCTCCCCCGCCCAGCAAACGGAGAAGCGTCTCACTGCGCAGCTGACCGACCCTCTGATGAGCGAACAGCGTTCGGACAAAACTGAATTCATGCGATGCTATGCGCTTAAGCTGTAGGCAAGCGCCAGTTTTAGCGGGGTGCCACAGCTGACGCTGGCGGTGCTACAGGTGTAGAGCTAATCACAGCGAGGGTAATGGCGACAATGATGGTTTGCTGTTCAGTGTCAGGAGGTCTCGGTGCTATTTGACAGGGAGATTAAGGCATGAGACTGAAGTCGTCGGAGTTTCTACATTCTACATGCAAGCTTCCACCATCACCGTGGTTGTCAGACTCGTGCATGCACCAAGTCCTGAGCTACAAACTTCGACTCGAGCGTATAGGACGGAAGTGACCCTAAGAAGAACACTCACATTGCAACAGCTACATCCACCTGCCAGGATGGCCTAAATGTTGCAGCATCGCTGACTACATATTGTGCAGCTTGCCGAGAAAAGGGCGTCGAACCAAGAAACAATAAGCTGCACAACACAGGCCTCTCAACAAGATTGATGGTTTCAAACGTGCCATTATTCAGCCCAGCTCGGCTGTAGGCAGCCTAAATCAGCCTGAAGCCTCCGCATTGTAGTGCCAAGACAACGTCACAGAAAAATCCATGCTTGCTGTCCATCAAACTTGAAAAGCCTCAAGCCTCCGGTTTTGCAATTGCTTTGGTTCAGCTGTCTTGCAAACTCATCGTGCAGCTTTTGCTGGGTGCGAAGCATCGTCGGGTCACGATCAAGTCGAGCGTAGCTATCCCTGGACACCTGGCACCACAACACGACTTCAATGGGCTTGCAAGATGAAAACGGTAGCTGTTGCACCATTAAGGGGTTGATCAGAAGTTTCGGACCTCTAAACACTCACGGCCGACCAGTTGGGGTTGAGGTTGGTTGCTGACTTCGCAGTCTTCAATGGAAATGGGCAGCAGGGTGATGCTCCTCTTTTTGGTGGTATATTGCTGCTACTGACCACTTACAACCATGCCAGAGGTGTCCCTGTATAGTTGCGAGAGGAATGAAGTTTGATTAAGTTCTTTATGATGTCTGGCCGCAGTCTGGCAAATGTCTTACGCCTACCACATCCTAGATCTCAAGCCGGCTCAGCGCCAAGCATGCGATCCCACGCATGCTGCAAATAGCTGTACAGCCGTGGACATTGCCGATCCCCGATACCTAGAACCTGCGGCATCTGTTTGTGCGGGTGTACTGGCTCTCTCTCTCTCTCTCTCTCTCTGCACATGCGTCTCTGGTCTATACATGAAACTCTATCTATATATATATATATATATATTATACACATATAGAGAGAGAGAGAGAGAGAGAGAGAGAGGGATATGGATATAGGTGTATGTGACATCTCGGTGTGTGTGTGTGTGAGTGTGTCTATACGTATGTGGTTGTTGGGGCATGCCGGAGGCAAGACTGCGCAAGCTTCTGCAAACACCGAACATCTGAAACACCTACTGAGTGTATGCATGTATCAAGGCGTGAATGGAAAGTACATTATGATAGTAACTGTGTCACGGCGTTGGCATCCTCTCGAAGACAAGAAGTTCCTAAACACGGAGCGCACACCTTGGGACATTGATCTCATTTCAGCAACAAAACTAGCGGTATCTGTTGATGTGGGCATATTCCCATCTTTCTCCAACGACTCGAGAGCACTTTTGCATGAAGGCATCGCAGGGTCGCAGAGGCTGTTGACAGAAGCCCGTTCTTAACCAAGCATTGGCCCATATCAGGGAAGAAGCGGCTCCAGTGACACTGATGACCTGGATTGGACTACCAGTATATGTACGGGGTTGAATCGACTTTGTATGCGAGACCACACTTCGAAGACACTGTTGTAATTTGGTGAGAAACTTCAAGTGACAGAATTGACAACAGAGTCTGGGTCGTTTCACCACACGAAACAAGCGTTTCACACTTCGCGCAGCTGCAACATAGCTCTTTCTTGGAAGACCTCGTCGGCGTGTCAGTGTGTTGGAGAAGTATGACATGGCAATATTCCTATGGTGTGACCATAGCTAGATAGACACGGAAGGCTTCTGCCAAGGCTGCTTGGCTGCTACGGCGCATGCGCTCCTGGGTCTTCCAGGCAGGCTAACGAAGCCAAATTCCTCCGAAAAGTCGCTTGAACTCCAGTGGGGTAGGTGAGATAGGCGCTGCTGCAGTCTGAGCTGGACAACTTGAAGCTTGGGGGAAATCACGAATCACCGACGAAGAAGCGCCAAAGCTCCAACAGAGGCGGCGCCCAATGTAGCTCCTGGATTCAGCTAGGCTACTATAGGCTTCTGCGTCTGAAGGGGCATGGATGCCACAAGCCATGACAGTCCAAAAAAACAACCAGTTCCGGTCGAACACTGCTAAGAAAGTCCAGCTAAGCAGAATGGCGGCAGCCCCAAGTCCTAGCAGCAGTGAGGATAGGCACGGTCGGGGCAGCGCCGCATTTGCCTGAATACGGTGTTCGTGGCAGCCGGGCTTGGCAAAGTGTATGATTTGTTCGGCTCCACCTCTTCCGATCACTCATGATCTCGAAGTGAAGCAGCTCTAACACCACCCTCCATAAGGAGTGCGACTGAAGCTTAGGCTCGAAGCAGCACCCGCCTTTGACATGCACTACGGCCTATACATGTCCGCGTTTGCGGTACAGCACCACTCGCTGCAGCGAGGAGCCCAATGCTGGGGCGGCCTAAACCCTGAAAACCTTAAAGCCTGTCGGGCCTTCTCCTCCATGCTCAGGATCGAGACAGCGGCCTGCAAGAGCAAATGTGCGCTTCCTTCTGTTCCCTGTGTTTCTGGTCGCCCCGCTCCGGCGTCTGCTTTGCAGTGAAGGGGGCACCGAATGATCGCTGATTGGCAGATTTCTGGAGGACCGGGAAGACTTTCGAAAAGGCATGAGAGGTTACGGTATGTTTAGGTTCTAGCCGTTACGCTCCTGTAATTTATGTTTGAACCAGGTATCCTACAGGCAGCACAATACAAGCCGCATGACAGCTGGACATGCCACCAATCAGGGTACTTCATGGTCATGGTGCTTTCATTGAGAACAGCATGACTACAACGGCGTGAGAGCCACCACAGGGTTGGCCAGTAAGGGTATCGCCGTCGCAGAACATGACGGGATGTGACGGAATAAAAGCACGTGTCCGGTAGTCGGAGTCTTAAACTTGTAGCAGAGGTCTGCGATTTGCATCGGGTTGTCTCAACCTCACCTCTGCTTGTCTCACACAGGGACATCACCTGCGCACTGTTTTCATCGACGTTTCACCTTCCAGCTTCATGTCTGATCCCACACCCACGCCTCAGCATCATGCAAGTACCCAAAACAAACCAGCTTGTGATGCTCTGCTAATGCATCAAAATGCTTTCTCCCAAGCCCTTAACGTCGAACCCTGAACATCTGTCGTCCTTCCACAGTACGTCGTTCGCGGCAGCCACGACTCTTCCCCGTGAGGTTTCCTCAGGCCCACGGAGAAGCGAAAAAACCCTAAACCTCAATCATCCGGACGTGGGATTTTCAATCGTTTCTTACACCACTTGGACCGTGAGGCAGTCTTTCCGAATGTGGGTTTTTGCGCGGGCAGAAGGCTGTGGTCAACGAAACGTGCAATCGAGTCATGATTTTGATCGGGACCAAACAAACCAACACCTACTTGTCGCCATCCAAACCTCGAGTCCACTCGGCACGGGCTGAAAGCATCCAGGCAGGTCACATGTGATTGCAAAGTGAGCGGTCGGCCACTCCAGTCCTACAGGTCGGCGAATTGAAAGATTCGGTGACTTGTGCTTTCTTGTGCTTCTGGCAGAAACCAACCAACATCCTTGATAATGCTCAGGACGAGGTGCTTAGCTATAACATACAACGTCTTGTCTGGTGTTCATTGAGTATCCTCGAAAACGCGCTCACACCGAACGGGGCACATGCTGGATGGTCGGTGCTTGTCTGTGCTGTCCCATGCTTAGCGTCGAACCGAAACCCTTAACTTGTTGCTCCACTTCGTCCTGGATACCAAAGCTAGAGCTGCAGGGGTCGTGGTGTTCAACAATGCGCCCTAAGAGTGGCTTCGCTTGCAGTCGAGCTCTCACCTAGCGCCGCTTGTCGTTCCGCGGTAGTAGCAGTAGTAATTAGTCGTCGTCGAGGTCATGGTGGTAGTACTGGTCGTCGTGGTGGTAGTGGTGGTGGTGGTAGTAGTAGTAATAGTGGTAGTGGTAGTGGTAGTGGTAGTGGTAGTGGTAGTGGTAGTGGTAGTGGTAGTGGTAGTGGTAGTAGTAGTAGTAGTAGTAGTAGTAGTAGTAGTAGTAGTAGTAGTAGTAGTAGAGCAGTAGTAGTAGTAGTAGTAGTAGTAGCAGTAGTAGTATCAGAGCAGCAACAACAACTACTACTACAATCACCACTACCACCACGACTACTGCGACTGCTACGACGACTACTACTACTCCTAAGTGCTCCTACTCCTATTCCTAATACTGCTACTACTACTACCACCACTACTACTGACATTACTCCTACTACTACTTCTGCTACTACTACTGACTTCTGTTGCTGCTTTGACTGCGGAATGCCTCCTGCCGACAACCACCAGCATCAGCGTTCGTTTAACCACTTTCATCATCAGACTACGCTTAACATGACCATCGTCGCCGCAGGATTTATCATCAGTGGTAATCATAGAAGCCGCTTATCATCTTCGTCTTGGCCTGACAATCATTCGAATACGTATCCTCATCACTTTCTTCCCTAAGGCATCAAAAGCAGCACCACGCTCAACGTGAGCTTCCACCGTTGATTTTCGTCTCTACCACCGTTTCCGGCAAAGCACCAGGACATGAATATCAGAGAAAAGCGACCACAATGCATCCTAAGGGTTGCGGGCCGTCATCCGGCCGCCGGCGCAGTTGACAACGGGGACCAAGGCACAGTAGTCGTAAATGCCTCAAGCCGAATAACCGAGGCTTCTGTCAGCTATGACCAGTGTCGAACCGTGCATACAGAGAGCGCGTGGCACTACTTAGAGGATCTCAAGAACAAGAAATCCAGTGGCAGAAGTAAAATCTCAAATTCGACCGTGGAGGCAAGGCAGCACGGGATGAACACCCAGAGGTTGAATAGCGCGTAATCACGAACAGTCCTCAAACGACTAGCCGCAAATACTGAATGAGTCATTGTCTTGCGATGCGCAAACATTATCATTCGGTTTCTGCCAAGGTAATTCTCCTTACCAGCCAGGGTCGAGGCGCCTAGGTCCGCCTCGGCGACGAGATCTGCTCCAAACCCTGCTGCCACTAGGCCGTAGGCATAGCCTCGCAAAGCAGCTCGCTTGGCCGGGGGTGCTGTTTAGTCTTTGCGAGCAGGTGCTTGAACAAAAGCACAGAAGAATGACTGCAATGTGAGAACGCAAGGAAGATGGCGAAAGTGCACCCGGGCTGTCGAACATAATGGTTGCATGTAGGAATACCCGGAAGAACATGTTGCACGACATGTTGCAGTCGCAGCCATAAAGGGGTCGCTTCACCTGACAGATGAATTGATGAAAGGCGCACGTTGCACTCCCTCATGTTGTCGTGCAGCAAAGCTACATACCTCCTCTAGTCTACTGCCCAAAGATGGCTTCGGTGCTCGCCGTCGGACCGTTGTCATGGAAGGTTTGCGATTGGAATTCGCAGAAATGCACACACTGGTAGCCGGAAGATGCTATGGCTATAAGATTCTTAGGCATGTACAGTTTGTACATGTAGGAATACGATTTCTTCCTTCTTATGAT